CCACCCAGTGCCATCAATACGATCAGCTACATCAGGCCCAAGGGGATTTGCTGCAATGAGTCCAGTCTGGTACAATGGGAAGGATATACCGAAATGGAACCCAGCTACAGACTCACCAACTTGGCGTGCTAGCACTACTATCAGAGCCGCCTTGCATCCCTCAATTATCTCATACTCTGTCCCGCTGAGGTGGCCTTGCTAAGCCTGGTCTAAAGGCCCTGGAGTGCCTGTAGTGGCAACTCTCTGGACTGTCCATCCCCAGCAGTGTCAGGCTGCTCCACACCATCCATTCTCAACCGGGGCATTCGAGGTGAGCTAAGGGTGAATGTTGAGGTCTGAGGAAAATCAGCAATGCGTCTCCTGCAGTCGCTGGCCCAAAGGGCTGTCTTGACACTGCTTTGGGGGCTGGCACGTAGTGACCTCGGGCACTGACAGAGTGAACGGTTTGGGTACGGTTTCTCCACCCAATGAGTGGGCTGATGGACACAACGATGGGGCCTCAGCATAGTGGAATTTAAGCCCAATATCCACACCAACTGAAGACACGTCAATCAGCGAGCTCAAGAAAAAATATATTCCGCTCAGAAATATCTTAAATTACGGCATTTTACACCACAAGGCAGCTTATGTTGTGTATGCTGCCCTAACAACTAGCTGAACAAATTCTAAAAGGTGTAGTTTATTATTCAATAAGCTGTGCCAATGTGACCAACGCAGCAGATGCTCAGCTACATTGTATGTTCCCAGCCAGAGTTAATGACCATTCACCCGTGCATATTGGCTTGTCCGTGTCTTCTAAGACACGTGTGATTGGCCCGCTTGGCACACCCAGTGTCACTGTGAACTTCTCTTACTTTAAAGGGGCAGTGCGTTGCCAACTTTCAGTCTGTGCGGGAAGAGGTTTATACAGCCGTCTCTCCAGCTGTGTTCGCCGTGTATAAAGCATTTTTTTCACTTACGTCTATAAAAGGCATTAAGTATAGTTATGCTTTAGAATTTCATTGCTTTGTTAGTTCTTCCAAGAGACCACTTTACATGCACCTTTTGGGTATTTCACATTCGATGTATCCATCAATTCATAAAATGAGGACAAAATTCAAAAAAAAAATCAAGGTCCAACCAGTTCAAACAATTATCAAGCATTACACAATGAAAAGTCTAAATGGAAAAATTTACTAAATGGAAAAGATTACTTTGTGCGGCTATAAACGACCGTTAAATGAAATGATGAATTTTTGAAGGATTTTGAAAACAGAAAAAATGATAGTCATGCCGGCATCATCAACATTGAAAAATGCCCCAGCATAAAGTGGTTAAGGGTTGTCTGGACAATTTAATCAGTGTTTCAGTGCCATATATAGACCTTGTTTCTTGAGAAAATTGAGATGAACTTTAAGGACGTAAAAGCACACATCCTTCCCTTCATCTGTCCTTTTTTATTACAACTTCCTACGACCAGTACTCTTTCCACATGAAGTGTTGTTCACATCTCTGCCGATGAGCTTCAATTTTTTTCTATTTCATATTCCTCTGAGGTAGTAAACACCATTTGTCAAATCTCAAAATGGGACTGTCATGTCATCTTTAAATATTATCATAGTGTAATGACAGTTTTCAGACAATCTGTAAAATCTTTCCACCCAGAATGCCATTAGTTGTGAGAAAAAAGTATACTTTTCCGAAGATCATCCCTCTCAACAATAATTGGAAAATATAATTTGTTTACACACCAGGTACCATTCTTTCAATGTTGTATCAAGAAATTTATATATGTGGTGCATGTAGCAATTAATATTATTAATAGTTAACAAAAAGGCAGCCGACACACCTTTAGTAAGCCCGATCACATCATCATAATGTAACTATGGGGGCACATCCCTCCCCCAGCAGATAGCCGTGCCCCTTCCCATTAGAAATCTGTGAATACTCTCTGCTACATGCAGCTGCAGCTTATTTTCTTGTGGTGCCCCCTTGAAAGATTATGTGCACCCCAGGTGTCCCCCCCCAGAAATTTAGCCCCCCGAGTTATACTACTGCATCAACTGACAAAATAGATGTAAAATTGTAATTGATTTACCAAAGGAGAATTTGGATTGGTTTGAAATCAAATTTCTCCTGCAAAAATATTTCCTTCTATCACTCCTTACGATAATAGTATTAGTACCACTGGGTAACATCACAGCTTCTTTGCAAGGTCTGTACCAATTAAAGCCTGTTCTCTTGAACAAAGGTTGCAATTTTCAGACAATCAACCTTTTTCCCATAATGCAAGGGTAGTTATCACATCTACCGAGATATTAACTTAAGTGCTTATGGTGTACACCAATGGCATGTGGATGGTTTTTAACCAGCAGCATGTGATAAAACATGCATGTTTACATGCCTTGACTTCAGGCACTTCACTGGACAATGAAGCACTGTTTATTTGACAAATCCATAGCATTTCATTATCGAAGGAAAAGACACAAACTTGAAGATAAATTTGCCAACTACTATTCAAAGCAGTGACAAAAACAGAACAAAAACACACACATTTTTCAGGGGCATCTTTGATCTGCGGAATTCAACTTGCCTGTGCATTATTCAGGCATTCAGCAATGCCCTGTGGTCCGTGAATTTGTTACAAGCAAATTACATGAGATGCAGTTTGATGTATATAAACAAAAGCATTTTCCTTTCTAAAAAAGGAAATAAGTTAAAGGAATGTTACCAAAAGGAAAAAAAAGGCCCATTTTGAAGATACATGTAATAGAAATGCATATAGTTGGGGTAAACAGGTTACATACACTTCATAGAAAAACATTTTTCCTCAAGTTTACACTGTTTGAAATACTTTCCCCAACGTTTTCTTTATCATTTCAGACAAATTGTATCTCAACGTAATGTTCATAGTGTGTAGTTTGATTGAAAATACATTGAAGACATTTATTTTGGTTCAAAATATTAATATTCTGAAAAACCATTTTGTGAAAATTAAACTCCTTATTGTTGTTCAAAACACTTCAGAAAGTGGTCCACTGCGACTATAAGATGGGACAAAAATACAGAAAGTGGCACTCAATATTAGGGTTGGAGTATGTAAAATTTTGAATTTGCTTTTGTAAATATAAATACGAATCAGATATACGTCTGGTTGTTTTTACTTGATGCATACACCATGTACATTAAATAAAGAACCATCTTGTCTGTTCTCATGAAAAGAAAAGTTGGTAGGAATGAGTGAATTTGTGAAATTTGAGGAAAACTGTATTTTTCTACTAGGTGTATGCAAACTTTTTGCCCCAATTGTATATGGAATACATACCACGTTTAATAACAAAAGCAATGAATAAACTCCCCAAACTGATCAGTGACTATGAATCACTTGATATTTATTTTTGTAATGCAGTTCTTCAACAGTATATTTTGAAGGGTTTAGTGCAATATCCTTGACAAGTGAGGACTGAACCAAGACTAAAGTGCAGTGGACTTGTAGACCATTATCAACTTCCTACAGATGTTCTGCATATTGAAACACTTTCAATATACAGCTCATAGACTCTCAAAGGGAAAAATCACCTGGCATCTATTGTAACAAAAATTAACTTGACTTAATTTGGTGAGTTCTTGTGCTCCATAAATTTTGTTAATGACTGTTGATATACATGTACAAATTGCACTCCATATCATTAGACCTACTTTTCAACTTTGGGCTGTACTATAGCTGCGCTTCAGTTCAAAATAATGGAACAGTCCAACTGGGCATGGTGGAATCAAGTACATGTTTATTATGCTAAATCCACCGTTGTTGAAATAATCCTTATTCTTTACAACCCTCTTCAGTCTACTAGGACTGAAGAGAAAGAGCTCAAGAGCTGAATGGTCATTTGTTGTTGAATAGATTCTTCGAACTTGGCATGTTACATGTAATTTATTACTTCATTATGTGACTATCTGGCAAGCCATATAAAACCAAGAGAGCAGGAAATTTCCTTAGGGATTTTTCTGAGTGGGACAGACCTGGGAACATCCAGAGGTGTGGGATGTTCCTGTTTATCTTTTCGTTCCGTATGGATTTGTTTCTTTTTGCTCTAGATTAGTATGCTCTTGTGCATGTGGCCAAAGTATTTCTTTTCTTTTATAGGACTGTTTTGGGGGGAGGGCGTTGCCGGCAATCAGGCTGGGCTTTGAACTGTTAAAGTCCACTTGCACTGACCTATACATTTGGAACTGGCCAACATGTACAGGAACATACAGGTCATATCTCGTTGTGCCCTGTTTAAAACAGGAAGCAACTAGCGTAATAATTTAATTGTATATTACTCATTCTGGTAAATTTGGCAGACATTTAACCTTAACTGCCAAGCATTTTGTTTGGTTAACACTACTCAGTACTACAAAATACTAAGTAGTTGCCTGAGCCTGAAGGACCTAGCGCTACAGATTACTACTTCTAGCTAGGTTACTTCCATTGCTACAGAGAAGAAATCAGTCATTCATAGTGCCATAGCACTGTATGGTACATTGTCTTATCTACTGTATTTTATGGATAAAGGTCATGTCCTCATACAAGCAACAGTGCTGAATACATGTACTACATTTTACTACAAGTAGTAATTTGTAGTATTATTTAGGGTTACGGTTAATAAACTTTAAAATGAACAATTAAGCCGCAAAATGTCTTCTGCGGTTAGGCAGTTAGCCCGTGTATACTTTAGAGATTAATTTTGAGTGGCTTGCCCTTTGTTGATTAGTTAATTGGAACCCACAATTTTATACTGGTGGGGTCCTGCTGGGATTTTGTTACAACATATGTCAGGTAAAGTAAATGAGTGACTTCTAGGTAAACAATGTGTCACAAAATGAACCTAAGATCTTAGAACACCAGTAAGCAACACCCTGGCACAACAAATGTACACTGCACAATGTACATGTAATTACCAGTGCAATTCTGCTAAAAGTTGGTTATGTATTAGTGATAATAACAATATTATGTTACCACAATATTGTAATGTTCTTACCTCTCTGGAGAATTAATTCACTGGTCAGATTACCCTTTAAGGCAGAGTTGATGTTGTTTTGTTGCACAATGGAGTCACATTCTCCCTCCAGTTTGTTGATGCCCTGGGAAAAATGAATTAGTGAATGCTTAATTCCTTTTGGGTCATAAAATATGCAGGGGGTCTCACATTTATAGGTCCTATCAAAGTGAACGGACAAGACTGAAGATTTGTGCAAGGAATGGATGAGGTGAAATTAAGTTTATTCTTGCATTCTTGAATTTCCAATTATGTTCTTTGATGAAAAGTGTTTCAAAAACAAAGATTTATTCAAAGTTATTTTTGGTTATAGCCCAATTCCTGCATTTATGAAAACGTGTAGACAAAAATCAGCAACGCATAACTGCAGCATGTCATGTTCACAGTTTTTAAATGGTTGCAGTAACCATGCTGATGCATACACATTTATTTGAGGCCCATGCGGCTTCAAATAATATATTGTCACTGGACAGTAGGTGGGGTGTGGAGGCTGGAAAGAGATTTCCACCCTGCGCGGCCAAGTAAGATCAACTGCCTAGATAATTCGGCCACGCTGTTGGAATTTGGTTGCCAGGGGGTCTGGACTGGTGAAATCACTTCCCTCACCAGCATATCCAAGACAAGATATGGAATGGGGAATTTGTAGACTTTGGCTTGCTTTTGCTTCCCAACCAAAGCGTCTAGGCAGCCAGTGACTGCATGTTTATGGTAGGGTCGTATAAGTCCTCAGCAAAGCAAATCCATCCCCATAACCAAATACTGTGTATAACATCAGTCAAGTGGTGGACCTCAACTTTTCTGATTTCATTGGACCTCAGCTTTTCTGATATTTGCCTCAGTTTACTTGATTTGGCATCCAACTAAGGCATGGCAAATGCTCAAATATGGCGACATTACTATGCTGCATTGCAGCATGCAGGATTCGGCTTGTGTGATCATGATGTTCAGTTTCGCCTGCAACAAGAGCGTGCACCGACCCATTCTTGGGCTTCACTTGATGCTTACTTGGGGTTTATGCTGTTGGGAGCTCCAACAAAGCAACCTACTTCTTGTCCCTTTACAAGGAGGGACAGGCAATTGTGCGCACTTATGGGCTCTGCATGGAAACTTCAGTGCAGGCAGCAATGTTACGTTCCAGCGCACTCAGAGTGCTGGAATCTGCTTTGACTTCATCCGTAGTTGCTGCATCAGAGTCTGATGTTGCTTTGCCCACATGTGTATGCAACTTGCATGTCTGCGACCCATTCAGTCAATGAATGCAGTATTTCCAACTGCATCACAGCCAGAAAATCAGTCCCCCCACAATCAACTGTCAGCACCAGTCAAAACAATTGGATGCTTCCCTTGTTTAATTTGTACCCAACAGACAGGATGTTAAGTTCCTAGGAAACAGTTTTTATGTGGTTCTTGACTTGGTTATGAAGGTTCTAATGCCCAAAATTTGGTCTCTGCACATGAATATCCCACTATTTTGCAGGAAAAAATCAATTAAAGGAATTGCAGTTGGGCTGGCTTGCTGGCCACCTTTTCTACTCCCTCCATTCCCACTTTACATTGCTCACTTATAGGTTTGATGCACAATACCAAGCAAATTTTGCTTGATTCATAACCTGTCATCCCTGTTGGGTAACTCTGTCACTCTGTTGGGTAACTCAGTGATCACCTGGACCCAGTTAAAATGGCTGTTTCCAACATGAGTTCCAACAATACAGTCACACTGGTTTCTAAGTTAGGTACAGCGGCCTTTTGTTGGCCAAATCTGATATTAAATCAACATTCTGTCTACTCGCTGTTCACCCTAATGACTTTTATCTGCTTGATTTTTCTGTTAACGGGGATATCTGTTATGATAAGAGTATGCCTGTAGGTGTTTCACATCATTTGTGATGTTCAAGTGTTCCAGCACATTCCTTGAGTACTACACTCAGAGGGTTGCTGGCACTCCCACCAAATTATGTTATCTGGATGACTTCTTGTTTGCTGGTCACCCAATTCGTTAGAGTGTGCACAAGCCCTTATGTCATTTAGGGTAGTGTGTAAGGACTTCAGCTCATGACAAGACTGAAGGGATGACAACTCGTATTATGTTCCTCATGGTGATCAGTCAATCAGCAAGTTTAAGTCCCTCAGACCAAGATAGCTTCTTTTCTTGATAAATTGGATCATGCATTGTCCAAACACAAGTTGACACTTGTTATTGTTATTGTTGGGGAGCCTGAATTTTGTTTGTAAGGAAGTTAGACCCTGTCATGCTTTTTTCCGCCATTTGGGATGACTATGTTCATATTTCCTCAGGTGCAAAGGCCAACATGTTAGCATTGCAACACTTTTTGATATGTTCCCAGATGTTTGGCATTCAAGCAATATCATGCATTGTATATGGATGCTTCTGAAGAAGTAGGTTTTGGGGCAATTTTCAACAGCGATTGGGTTCAAACAATGTAAATGGCCTGACTGAATTTGCTCCCTCCGACTGTCCATTGCCTCTCTGGAACTTTTTCCCATCGTGCCAACATTACGTTTATGGTGCTGCAGTCTCCGGGATAAGTGAGTCATATTTTGGCGTGATAATGAGGCTGTCATATCTACACTCAACCCCCAAACATCCTGTTGCCCTCGAATCATAAAATTGGTTCATGTGTTGTCTTACAGTGCCTCAGGCAAAACATCCATTTTAAAGGCTTTCCCTGGCACCGATAACAGTATTGCTGATGCTCTCTCCCAATTTCGGATGGTTTGTTTTTGGCAACTAACACCCGGGGCAGACCCCCTTATGACACCCTTGCCTGTAGACCAGTGGACTTTCACTGAAACATTTATCTGGGGTTTTCCTCCTTCCTCTAAAACTGAATATTTCTTCACTCATTATCACCCTGTAATTGGTGCGGAATGTACTGTTGGATGAACAGATATGAATAAATAAAAAACAACCTCCTTTGCTATATGAATCATGGATTATAATTGTTTTGTGATGGTGTTCCATGGGAGGGAATAACAACCAGGAACTTCACGCATTTCTGCTGGTGGGGGGCTTAACGACCAGAATTACATGTATGCCATGTTCTGGATTTATGGTTTATGATTGGCTTTATCTGTGTGGGGGGGGGAGAAATAAAGACCGGGAACTTGCCACAGCTCTGTGGGGGGCGGGGATTATGACAACGACCGGGAACATGCTTTGCTATGATATAAATTTTAATATGTACTACTGTTCCACAGGAGCATAACGACTGGGAACAGTCTGAGTTATATAATCTCTTTGTGGTTCTGTTCTGCAGGGGATATAATGAACAGGAACATGCTCTTAGTATGTTATGACGTTACGTTGTCCTGCAGGAAATACATTGACGGGGAACAAACTGACTCGGCAATGAAACTGCTCTGGCCACAAGTTAACAAAGTAAACCTCTTGAGTCAGTGTCCACATCTTTCATGCTGTCTGTGAATGTGGCAATAACAAGCTTCCAGGGTGTCCCAAGTAAACATGAATCAGCTGAAGCAATACCATGACCCTAAAGACAGATAAGCGTAAACATCCAAACAGAGGTTACATACTGCAGACCAGTTTGAGGACACACACTCTCAGTGACACTGATTCTAAATCTACTCCATCTGCCAACAAACATGCCACAACTTCCACCTATTGTACAGGGAAATCAAGACAGTTCTCTGGTAACAAATCACCACTAATGACAAAGGCAGTGGATACTTTTAAACTATACACATTCTCAGATGCTTTACCGTAATAGTCAGCAACATTATGAAGTGGAAAGGCCACAACAAAAGAACTTGGGAACCAAAGGAGGATATTCCTGATGATTTAATCACAGAGTTTCACAGATTCAAAAAAATGAACAGTCCAAAGCACACAAGTGCTGACAATGAGAACTAAATTCAGGTCTAACCCTCAGTATAAATTCTTACTGCTGTATAAATATCTTCCTGTAATTTAGTGTGTTTAAGATAAATCTTATTCATACAATGTGAACTTTTAGTGCAGCGAGGTTATGTTATTACTTTAGTCTGTAATTCGTATTCATTTGTGTGTGAATTTTTTCCATTTTTTAATGATTTTGTTTTACTTTCTTTGCCTCAAGCTATTTTAAATGGCCGTGGACATGATTCATGATGTTTGTGTACACTAGTACTCCACCACGTAAAGAGGGTCCCAGAACAAAATCGTCATAATGACATCATCAGGGGGTGACGTGACATGAGATTAAAGGTGCAGTTTTTCTCCATAGGGATTGTACATGGTTTTTACTATGTGCTGTTATCGATCTGAATAACTGTGGGGTTCTCAACTTCAGCTGAGGATTACTCTGAAAATGAAAGAGAAATCTTTTTTTTGCTTTCTATTTGATTACAAATTCACCAAAAAATCTAAATATGAAGTAATATTTTGCAAACAAATTTAGATTAAGATGCAAATCATGTGACACTCATTTACAGGTGCAGTTTATCTGTATGGGGTTTTTAGCCCATTGACTTTGTACACCTTTTCGAGGCACCATTTTGGTAACTTGGTGATCATCATCAAAGTTACAGTAAACAAAGACCGTGGTACAACAATGTGGCCAAATTAATGATGTCAGGATGATGTCATTACCTAATTTCTTATTGATTTTTGAAGGCTTAATTTTTCTCCATTGGGTTAGTACACAGTTTTCAACAGGCAGACTTTGGCAATCCGGTCAACCTGTCTGATTTCATATTTGTACAGTGTCGTACTCCACCATGTAGAGAGGGTCCCGGAACAAACTCATCATAATGACACCATCAGGGTCACATGAAATAAGATTAAAGATGCACTTTTTCTCCATAGGTTTTGTACATGTTTTTCTGCTGCATACTATTATCCATGTTAATGAGTGAATAGTCAACTTCAGCCGGGAATTACTATGAGAACGAAAGAGAAATCAGGCTAAATTTTTCATTTTGTTCGGTTACAAATATACTATGGAGTCAAATTAACAAGTAATATTTCCTTCAAGTTTCCAGTTTAAACGTAAATCATGCGAAGTGAATTTAAAGGATCAGTTTTTCTGCATAGGTGTTTTAAGCCCATTGGCTTTGTTCATGATTTCAAGGTATGATTTGTTAAGTTACAAAACTTCAATTGTCATGAAAGTTACAGCCAACAAAGACCCTAATACAAATATTTTGCCACTTTTTAATTTAGTGTGACAGCTCATTTACATATCCCTCCTGCCCAGCGCCCTCGTTTGACCCTTGAGGTAAAACTCAGACTTAGCCTTTGTCTTGAGTGAGTCATTCCACCACCGGCACTGGTACATGGGTTTGGTACACTTTCTTTCAACAGCCAGTCTTTTGCACTTTTATTGATCAGACTGACTATAAGTACATGTAGGTGTACACTCAGTTCATAAGCTAAGAATAAAATGGTCATCAGGTGTCACGTGACATGGCATTAAAGGTGCACTCCCCAAAGCACGATATTCCTGAACTGCATGTCCGATTGGGTTCAAACCTTGCTGATATCTTGAAAGGGAAGTGTTATAGATGAAAATGGAAAATTTAAAAGTGATAAATTGAAACGCACTAGCATCTGCAATGAAGAATAGATTTTTCTAAAATTAAGAAAATGTGAAAAAGTCCTTTGATTTGTCCATAAGACAGACAAAACCTCTGGTTGTTTTTTCTTTTTGCAAACATTTTGTTTGTGCTTGTTTGAACACATGGAATGAGATATCAACTTCAAGCACTGCACATGTCTGACGTGGTGCACAGTTGTTATGATGTCATCAAGTGTCAAATTGCAACGCCTTTAAGTCTGAAAATGTTAATCATTAAAAATGCATATAAAATCAGTGGTTCCATCCCTTTTCTACTTTTGGGCAGTGACAGAGCAATTATAGGTCTAACTTTTTGTTGTTGTGTTGAGTCATGTGACCCTTCCTTCTGGTTGAAACTGGAACTAAGTGGCTTATTATTTAAAGGTGGTAATACATATAGATATGAACTTCATGTCAACACTGTTTAATTGTCTGTAGTCATACAGCATTCTTCAAAACATAACCCAATGATGTCATGCAACATTCTAGTGCCCTCTGGCAGCAGGTTGAAAAATGAAAAATGTGAACAATGAATTTTTACTTGATGTCTGTGGCAAAGTTTGCTGGAATCACTTGAATATTGGTGGAAACAATGACCTTTGTGCATCCCACTTGTGTGCTAAAATTCAGGGTGATGATGTCATCAGACCGGATGTTACAGTGGAAAGACCTTAATTTTTTTCAAAAATCGGTAAAAAATCAATCCTGACAGAAAAGTCTTAAATTACACATCAAATGATAGAGTGCATATTGGCATGCATTGTCCAGGACATCGCATATCCCTTATTCTTTGCACACGCAATCCACTGATGATGAATTAACCCTAGCGACAGACCGACGCTTCCCCTTCTACTGCTTTTCCCGTTGGCTACGTGCAGAGCCACTGGTTTTGTGTATGCCATGCGTTTATAAACACATTCAACTGTGTACATTCTGAGTTAGCTGAGCAATTTGGTGTGGCAGAGCCACAAATCATTTATGTGGAACCTGTGCACATTAAGATTGTTTTATAGCAAGATTTTCCTGTGCAACTTGAAGCTAAGAAAATAACTGAAATTTAAGTACAACAATTATACAGATATTACAGTAACTATTTACCTTTCAGCAGATCTGAAATGTATCAGGGATTAAAATATAATTAACTTTTTTCATTAAATTATCTCTTCAGCAAGGAAAGACGTTAACCTGTACATGGTACTTAACCAATGATCTCATGACGTTACTGTGAAAGGTCATTTTACGACCATAAAATATCTTCTGCCAAAATTAAACAGTGGCATATCCATGTCCGGAGATGAGGGTTGGGTGGGAGGTGGGTAAATTGAGATTTTTCTAGAACGATTTCCAAAAAAGGTAGTAGTGATGTTGAGTCAGCATTTCCAACAACTGAAAATGAAAAACAGGCACCCTGTCCCAGGGGACCTCACTCAATATGCTACTAAAATTACCTGTAATTTGATATCTGATGACATACTTTGAGATCATGACTATTGTTCATGTCACGTTGTCTTGCATGCATTGTTTTGTCTTGACGAAAAGTCAAAAGGAATAATTATCCAGAAAAAGGAAACAACTCAGAGCCTGTACATTAACAACAGGTGATCAGGCTCATCCATTTGCATAGCACTTATCGTTTGTAACCTTATGGTAAGGTTTAATACCTCAATAGTGTAACATTTTACTATTATGCATAGACACTTAATGAGTTTATAAACAATTTACATGCTGTTTTGAGTGATATATGTAGACCTGAAATCGAATTTAATTGACTTAAACCAAGACAAATTCACTTAATGTTTGACAGTGTAACGTAGGAGAGGCAGAGGAAGGCCTGAACAAAGGTTAGGTGGTTTGTCTCCACAAAAATCTACAAAGTCAAAGAAATAACAACATGTTCAGTCAGTACCAATTATTCAGATTTTGAATGATCAATACATACCTTTTTGAACTTGTCATTTTCCTGCATGACTGTGGTTAACTTTTTACCAGTTTTAAAAATATTTTCTTCAATTTGCTGGTGTTCTTTTGCCTGTTCCTTCATCTTTGAGAGGGCTCTAGTCCGTTGGTGTTTGAGCTCCTGTCTCAAAACAACCTAGACAGAAAGTCCAAAATTAACTTTATTAGAAATTTGGTAAATTCCTATTAAAACACTATCAATAATGTTCCACACCTCTATACCACTGCTATTTCTCACCAATCTTTCAAGTTTTCACATTAAAGTGTGATACGAGGCATCACCTTTAGTTTGCTTTCAACTAGGTTGACCACAGTCTTTCAGTCCCCCCAAAAGGAAGAACCACCTTATATTTTCCCCTCACATTTTATACACAAATATTACGAGCACAAGCACTATGATTTAATACTCCCACACTTCAGTCTTAAAGGTGAGCATATAGCAGCCAAGAATTTATAAAGCAGCAGACCGACTGAAGGCTAGGGCTAAACTCAGCAATAAAAAAATCAAAACAAGTTTTTGCACAACAGCACGTGAAAAATATAGTATTTAAAAAAACAATCTCTCTACTAAAGTTGAACAGACTTGTCTTCTCAAGTGCTTAACCCACCATCTCAATCTACTCTGTTGATCCAACTGGTAACCTCATCCAGAAAGGAACAATATGCATACAGACCTTAAAATCTAGAATACTTTACCAGCAATTACAGTTGGAATTAAACAGCATAAAGCTATATTTTATACTCAACAAGTTTGAAAACACTGCCCAATTATGCAGTGTCACACACTGATATCACAACAGTGACTAGAGATCCTTGATTAGCATAAATTGCAGATATACCTGAGTCTTGAATAATGTTTGATACAATGGGGAGTCAGGTCATTTGCTTTTTTAATGTCTGATTGTAGTAGACTGGCCAACATGTAGGTAACGTATTTACGTTGTTACTGATGTACAGAAAACCCCTCACAGGATGTCATCCTACTATTATAACTATAATAGATATATGTATTTACTTTTGTCAGTTTTTATTACTTTTATTAATTTTGATTATTATTACTTTTTCACCCCCCCTTAGATATCTGTTTGCACTAAAATGGAGGTTTGGTATAATGGGTTTTCAGTTATGGGATGCACCCTTTCCTGGCTCCAGCCCATTCAGATATGTTGCAGACTGCCTCATGAATGTTGAGGATTTGTGGTTAGTACTTCAACTTGGGTAACATCTGAAACTACTCAGGCTTCTCATCATGTATGTGGTATTGATGAAATGCCTGAACATGCACAAAATTGCACACTACCTCTGATTTCGTTTTTGGAACAACAGAAAACCTCTTCCTAAAAACCAACCTGCTGTCGTCTGTCACATTTATCACAGTGAAATTATGGCAGAATTGACTCAGTAGAAAATATAAAAATGAATGATCTGAACAAAACTAGTGGTCGTAGCAGAAATAGTGCTTGACATCAACTAACCTAGTACATGCACCAGAGTGGCTGTATAACTTCATACCAGTGTTGTAGTCGAAACCATCACAAGACAAGACAAGATACAAGACCATGCACAAGACAATGCACAGGACAAGTCACAAGTAACAGGATGGATGACAAAGGAAGGCTTCTGTTGAAGTTCATTTGAATAACTTGTGACTTGAATTCAGACTGGAGGTCTTGCGTTGATCTTGTGCATGTCTTGTGCAGTTTTGTGAAGGTCTTAAGGGGTCTCGACTACAAACAACACTGTGGAAATGAAGCTTTCAACTGTAGTAAAGATAATAATTATTATTATTTATTCGACCAACACAAAACAAAACAACAGAATATTTAATAGGGCAGAAACAAACACACCTGTTAGGGCAGAAACAAGCCAAACATTTCTTCCCCATCTTGGGGAACTACTATCTAAGTAACAATTTATTTCATTACGTCATCCTACATAATTTGTTTCTATGGCGACCTACAACTTCATTTAAAAAAAGTATTGTTGAACATTAAATGAGTCAAATTTCTTTGAGATAAAGTAACGTTTGCTCATGTCATGCTCATAAATCGACCCCCTTCTTATCCTGAGGCCAAGAAATACTAATTCATGTGTGTGGAGTTAAATACGATTTGGTAAGTTGCGTTGTGACTGAGTTTATCCTTTTTTAATTTGATTTTCCTATTTAAGACATGCCTAGAATTAAAAATGAAAAGTGTTTCAACACAACTACCTGCCAATGTGACCAAATTCCCATGAAATGACACCATACGTTTAACATCAATGTACCCTGGGACCTTAGATGATTGATGGCGCTATCCCATTCAGTGACGCTTTTCAGTTGACTTGCTTAGCATGCTGATTGAAGCATAAATAGTTTGGGCCAGTCATGTCCGGGAAGGGTTTGAGACGGATGGACATAGGAATCGAGTTAACTCGCAAATGGTTTTAGGTTGGGATTGGATATGTTTATACCAAGAGTTGAGCTTTTTCTTTGTTTATTGTTTTTAGTCCAGCTAATTGATTTCAGTTGATTTGGTTTGCTTTTCTAGTAGGGAGATTTGTCCAAACGCCAGAATCTGTTGGGATTAGGTTAAGCTCTTGTTTTTGTTGGGGTAGTTTAGCTCTAACCAGTTTTTCCTAGATGTTTTGGGCTCTTCTGAAAGCAATAAATGGAGGTTTGGAAAAATTTCAAAAAGTAGTTAATTTCTTCAAGCCAGGTGTCAGTGTTGTATATTGCTTGATATAGATAACGGTGGTTGATGGCCGGGTTGCATGCAGTGATAAAGACTGGTAAGGTTTGTTTCTGTTTATTCATTACTTCCTTGGCTTCATTAA